GGCTTTCGCCATCGCCCCCCACCCCAGGGAGGTGCAAGCCCCTCTCCTTTGCCTCACAGGCAGCACCCCGCCCCTCAGCTGCTTCCTGAGCCCCCAGGAGCCCCCTCTTTGTGGTCCCCAGGCCTGTCTCCCAAGGCCCACATCAGCCTGTGCTCTAACCACCTGACCACACGTCCCTGTCCCTTAGTGAACAGGTGGTCCTGGGAGGCCACACACCTGTGTCTGCACTCGCAGCCCCTGGCACGCTGTGTGGCTGCAGTCCACTAGTCTAGCGGTCCGCGGGCCCCTTGCTGTCCTAGAGCCCCCTGGTTGAGGGCTGCTGTCTGAGGAGGGAGACCCTCTACCCAACAACTCGTGGTGTTCAGGGAGGAAGGAGCAGCGTCGGCCTGTGGAGGGTGCGCTGGGAGCCGCCCACGGGGTGGTTTCATGGATCACAGTAGGTGTTACTCATTCTCCAGGTGGGGAGATGGATACCCAGAGGGGTCGAGTGGCTAGATGTCCTGCAGCCAGTGAACCATGAGGCCTGGGCCGCGGACCATCCGGTCCTTCCACCTGTGAGGCCTGCCCTCCCCCAGGACCCCATGCCGCCAGCTTGGGGGAGCAGTGGTGTCCTGCAGTCGTGGGTTGGCACCTTGGGCCATCTGCACAGGAGTTGGCAGCTACAGCCCACGGTCCCAGCCCAGCTGGCGGCCGGCTCTTGTCCACTCAGCAGGCCAAGGATGGCTCTCACGTTTTTTCACGGAGCCAGGGAACCAATATGCAGCAGAGCATGCGTGAGGCCCACACAGCCATCCACAGCCACAGATGCCATGGAAGTGTGTCCCCTGCCTGGAAAATGTCCCCTGGCCATTTCTACCTTGGATGTGATTCAAGGAGTGCCCAGGGGCTGCGAGTAGTGGGAGCTGTGGGAGGCAGGCTTTCCTCAGCCGCTTTGAGGGGTGCAGTGAGGCAGAAGCAGTTCTCTGGACTGGCTGAGGAGGGTCTCGTGAGCAGACAAAGGGAGCAAAGGACCAAACCAACTGACAGTCTGAGGGTAGTGGTTGGTCTCCAGGCCTGGTGCGTGGCTGGGCTTGTCCTAGCTCACAGGGGCCTCGGTCACAACCTCAGAGATCCCTCAGGGACTCCTGGTCCATTTCTTTGTTGCTATAACAGAGTACCTGAGACCAGCAGATTTATGAAGAATAGAGGTTTATTTGGGCTGACAGTTGTGGAGGCTGAAAGTCCAAGAACATGGCAGCAGTGAGGACCTCGTGCTGCTTTGATTCATGGTGGGAAACAAAAGGGCAAGCAGGTGTGTGCAGAAGAGAAACGCAAGAGGCAGCTTCGCYGTGTACCACCCACTCCCATGGTAACTAGCCTCGCCCCAGAGATYGAGAACTCACTCCCAAGAGAAGCAGAGTGCCGCAGCAGGGGGTTAGTCCCTCGTAACAACCTGATCACCCCACCACCACCCTTAGAGTGGGAATCAATGCCAACATGAATTTCCCTGGGGACAAGTCACATCCACACCTTAGCACAGTTCGACACTCACCGCCTACAGATGGGGACCCTGAGACCCAGAGGGACAGGTGCTTGCTCAGGGAACTCTCCAGACTCCAAATCCAAAGCCCCCTGCTTGCCCCATCTCAGCCCTTCCTGGGCATCGAGCAGGACCCTGCTCCCCCCACCCCAGCCATATCATTGAGGACAGAGGGTCATCGAGGGCAGGGGTCTCCGTGGGGTCAGGGAGGAGGACATGAGATGGAGCAGGGCCAGTGCCAGGCTGGCTGTGGGCTGGTGGGGGCAGTGGAAGACCAGGTGGCTCAGATGCCGRTAGCCCAGCCGCAGCGGGCTGTGTTGGACGCTCCTAGGGCTGTCCCCGGGGAGGGCAGGAGGAGGCCAGGAGTGCGCTTGGGTTCACTGAGGTCTGCCCTCCGCCCTCCGTCAGAGGATGTGCTGGTGGCCCCCACCAGGCACGGGGCTCTTCAGGGCCTCCCCCCTTGGTTTCCTCACAGGCCTCCACCCAGAGGCCTCTATCGCTGACCTTGGCTTCCACAAATGACCAGTGCAGGGGGCTCCCTGGTGAGCCTCCAGGRGTCCTAGTGTGGGGAGCGTCTATCCAGATGGGCTTTCGTGGAGCTGTTTGTCCATACATCCTAGCACAGTTGCTCCTCTCCATTGGTGATGGGGAGCTGAGAGCGGGACTCCTGGGTGGGGTGGGGTGGGGTGGAGCTTGCCTGGCACGCAGGAGGCCTTGGGTTCCAACCCCAGCAACAACAACAACCAACAAAAGACCCTCCCCTGGCTAGAATCTAGGGACCCGTGTACCTGGACAGGAGCCAACAACCTCCTGCCACACCCAACTGACGATGTTCCTCCGGCTGCAGGAGGCAGAGCCAAGCCGCGCCCCTGGGAGTCACAGTGCCTGGAACTGGGCACATGTATTTTTAGGTTGCATTGTGGTTGCTGCAGGGATCTCCAAGTGTCATTTGTGCTCAATGCTACTGCACAGTTATAGAGGCCCTTGGTTAGATCTTGTGCTTAGTGCATCCAGAAAGGGGTGCCGCTGTGCGTGCATCTCACGGATTTGATTTTTAATATTTSGTGACTAGGTTTTGATACAATTGGTTCTCTAATTCTTTGTCTTTTATTTTTGGCATTTAAAACCGTTTTTTTTTTCTGAGGAGGAAAGGTCAGGAGCGTCCTTACCCGCCTTGTGGCTCTTCCACCTACAGCCACCTGAGACTCCCTTGCAGCTGGGATGGGTCATGCCTATTTGTGGCCGTGGTCCYGGCCTCTGGTGCGGCTGGGAGCTGTCACATTTCCAGTGTTGAACTGAGCTGAAACAAAATGGCTTGGCGGACGCGCCCAAGAGGCCCGGGTCTCCCAGCACCGCCTGCAGCTCCCCAGCCCAGTGCTGGTTCTGTCCGAGGCTCAACAGAGGCCAGCATCAGGCCCCTGTGCCCCATTTGATGCACCCGCTGTGTCCACACTACCGAGCACACGGGCCCTGGGCACTTCCAGCGGGGAGTCACCCAACCCCTTGAGATGATTAGAGGCGCTCCCCCACCCTGGGAGCCCAGAGATGCCTTTCTGTCCCTGGCTTTATAAAAACCAAAAGCGAACCTTTGGAAGCCAGGCAAGACGCACCTAGACCACGCACGGTTTGGGACCATGAGTGGTCCGCACTGTCTGAAGTGCTTTTCAAAAGAAGCAAAGCCTGGGCGTGGCGCTGGGCGCGCTAAATTGTTTGAAAAAAAAAAAATCAAATCCAGAGGCTCTGGAAGAAAAACAAAAACAACACACGGGGGCGGCCGGGCCCTGAGTCACCGCCCAGCTCCCAGGGCGCAGCCCCCTGCAGCCCGCCCCGCCCCGCCCCCGCACCCCTCCCGGCTGCCTCTGTCCTCCAAGGTCCTCCTTGAAGCTCTCCGCCCTCGCAGCCGGGGCTGGCGCCCAGCAAGGGCTGGTTGAGCAACCCACCCCCTCAGAGGAGAAGGCCACGGCACTCCGCGTGACCACGGCCCTTCTGGAAAATCCACCCAGGGCCTGAGAGGGAGAGTGAGGGAAAGTACTTCCAGCAGAGAAGTGGCCCAACCACGCGGCCTCTGAGGCCACAGTGCCGTTCCCATGCCAGGGGAGAAACGCCTGAGACGGCAAGGGCCAGGCCTGGGGTGGTGGGGCCACCTCTGCCCCTGTTCCGGCTCCCATTCAGTCACAGGGACCCTCTGACACTGAGAGGTCCCCATGTTTTCCTTTGGGAAGAAGTGGTTGCTGATCCTCGCCCCCCAAAGCACACACACACTTTCTTTCTTTCTCTCTTAATCCTGGGGACTGAGCCCAGGGGCGCTTTACCACTGACCTACATCCCCTGCCCTTTTTCTTTTTGGTTTTGAGACAGGGTCTCCCTAAGTTGCTGAGGCTGGCCTCAACCTTGCAATCCTCCTGCCTCAACCTCCCAAGTCACTGGAATTATAGGTGTGTGCCGTTGCACCCAGTTAATGTTTCATTTTGCCTTAGAAGGTGTAGAGTTGTAACTACCAACTATTTAACCTTGCCTCATGTTCTGGTATGGTGACACCCTGTACATTCTCCTCTGCAAGTTCACTGTGAGCATAGGTTTGGGTGGTTACATAATATTGTCAAGTACAGATAAACCACCATGTAATGAACTCATCCTCAATCACTGGGCACGGGCTGTTCCTAGCTCTGTCCTGCCTTGCCATGGTAGATAATGGCGCGGTGAGGGTTTTGCTGTGTTATACTCGATGCCCATTCTGTGTTTCTCTGTCTAACAACCTTGGGCTCACTCTGTGCAAGGCATCATGGGAGGCTGGAGGGTAAGCCGGGCATAATCCCTACAATGCAGATATAAATAGCTTTTATCCAAAGCAGGTTAGAGGAACCGTCAACAGATAACCAAGACCGCCATGTCGGAGAAGAGTTTGGGGCTTCCCAGGGTTTTAGGAAATCCCTGTGAGAAAACCCGAGACTTTGCCTCTGCAGCTCAGGCAAGGCCAGGAGAGTCAGTCCCACAAGGGGGTAGTTTGGATGGGTGGCCTGGGCCAGCGGGCAGGTGCCACCTAAGGCAGAGGAGCTCGCTGCCAGGTGTGCCAACAGAGGGCGGGGTGGAAATCAGTGACGGCGGGGGACCCTGGTGGGTGAGAAGTAGGGACAACACACAGCCCACGGACTGTCCCCAGCCTGGGCTGTTCATGGAGGGGGGGAGCCTTGTGGCTCCGAGGCCGAGGGCTCTTTGACTTAATCAAGATCTGGGCTCAGGCGTCTAGATGGCGAGCTTCAGGACCCCCTCTTGGAGGGTCCCCGCCCTGGAGCCATAGGAGAGAGCCGCTGGAGCCAGAGCTGGCCGAGAGGGCAGTGGGGGCCGAGGGCCAGTGGGGCTTTGCCAGCCCGGACCCTGCGGCCCCAGCACCTGCTTCACGGGCTGGCCCCGTGGGGGCTCTGGGGTGCCGGTGGCAGGACGCGGCCCCTGTACCTTCCTGACCTCCTGTGTCCTTCCTCAGCCCCTGAAGGTGCCATGACTCAGCAGCCCCGGGAGGGCTTCGACCGCAGCGCGGAGGACGCGGAGGCCTGGATGGCGGCCGTGCAGGAGCAGCTGCAGGTCAACGACGACACCCGTGGGCCCCGCGCCGCCCTGGAGGCCAGGCTGCAGGAGACCGAGGTACGTGGAGTGCTGCCCAGGGGCTCTGCGGCCTTGGCGTGTCCCTCCCCGTGGACCAGGCTTCCCGCCTGTTAGGTGGCAGGGGAGGCCAGCCTGTGCTGTCACGCTCTGGCCCGCGTTGTCACGCTCTGGCCTGTGCTGTCACGCTCTGGCCTGCGTTGTCACGCTCTGGCCCGTGCTGTCACGCTCTGGCCCGTGCTGTCACGCTCTGGCCCGTGCTGTCACGCTCTGGCCCGCGTTGTCACGCTCTGGCCCGTGCTGTCACGCTCTGGCCTGTGCTGTCACACTCTGGCCCGTGCTGTCACGCTCTGGCCCGTGCTGTCACGCTCTGGCCTGCGTGACATTGGGACACAATGCAGACTCTGGCCGGGGTCTGGCGCAGGGCTGAGGGTCTATTTCTGACGAGTCCCATGGTAGACGTTGCTGCTGCTCTTTGGGCACATGTTGGTAGTAAGGGACTGGAGCCTGTCCTCTTTTCCTGTGGTCCTAGCTGTGCAGCTAGGTGGACCCCACTCCGCTGGCCCTTGCCTCTTCCCAGCCTCTGTGAGGAGGGTCTGGGTTGGCCAGGTCTGCCTTCAGCAGGATGGGGGGGGGGGCTCTGTCCAGTGACAGAGACGATGACCTGATCTCTCCAGAGCTGGGCTCTGTCCACCACCACTGGGGCACAGCAGGGCCTTGGTCCACAGAGAACTAAGCAGAAGTGTTGGTGCCAGTGCCTGACCTGGCATCCTGGTGCCCTGGTCTGAGGATGGGCTACCCAAGGGACAAGAGCAAAGAACATGAAACCAAGATTCAGTGACTGGAATTGTAATTTCTATGATGATGTTAGACTGCTGTGTGGCGTCTGCAAAGTCCCTATCCCTCTCTGGGCCTCAGTTTTCCTTTCTGTAAGTGAAGTAGTTGACTTAAACACCTCTGGGGTCATGTCATTTGGAAATATCATAATTCTAATTTACCACCGAGCCACACCCYCAGCCCTATTTTGTATTCTAGTTAGAATCAGGGTCTCACTGAGTTGCTTAGCACCTCGCTTTTGCTGAGCCTGGCTTTGAACTTGTGATCCTCCTGCCTCAGTCTCCCAAGTAGCTGGGATTATAGGCATGAGCCAATGCACTTGGCCTAACATTTTTTTGTTTGTTTTTGTTTTTCTTTTGCTGTTGGTACTGGAGAGGAAARCCAGAGGCCCACTACCACTAAGCTACACCCTCAGCCCTATTTAAACTTTTTCTATTTTGAGACAGGTTCTCACTAATTTGCCCAGGCTGGCCTCTAACTTGCAATCCTCCTGCCTGGGCCTTCTGAGGCACTGGGATTCCAAGTAGCTGCTGCTGCGCCAGGACAGTTGTTCTGATTAAGGGGAGGGCCTGCCTTTTCCTGTGGCAAAACCCTGCACCTCCCACTTAGCTTTGGCAATCCCCACCCCCATCCTGTGGGTTTCCTTCTGGGCTCCCTCTTATTCTGTGCATTTGTTGCAAATACCTCATTTGCAACATTTGTCGCCCTTTTTGGATGAGGACAGTAAAGGTGAAGAATTTGCATCACCTTTCAGAGTCCAGGTCTGGCTTAGGCGGCAGAGGGAGGAGCCACCTTCTGCATCCTGCAACTGGGGGCCCAGTCTCCAAGCGCCTCTGGAGAGCCCTTCCACTTTGTCTCGCGCTCTCTGTTCTCATCATCATTCAGGGGAGAGCCCCGCCCCTTTCTGCCCTCCCTGGCTTGGGGCGTGGAGGTGGCTGAGACACACCCTATTGTCCAGAGTTCGCGGCCTAAGGGGAATGGTACCAAACATCAGGGCACAGCCCGTGTGGGGATCCTCCCGAAGTCGGGTCCCATGATGTACTCTCCTCCTCTGCAACCTCCCGTGGCTCCCCATTGCCCAGCAAAGACCAAACAATCTTCCCCTGGGATCCAAAGCCTCCCCTGCCACACGACCCTGCTCACCCACCTCAGCTGCCTCCCGTAGCTCCTGGGGGYCCTTTGCTGGCGGTGCCCTTTGGCTTGGTCTGAGTGGGCAGTGAAGTGAGTGCTCCTGTCCCTGAGTCTTTCCTGGCCAATCTCCCTCTCCTGCCTCCCGACCTCTGTGAGCACCAGGGCCCTGCACGTGGGTCCCCATCCTCTGGCCCTTGGTAGCTGTGTGGCCAGGAGGAGTCCTGGGGAAAGAGCAGGGGAGAGCTGGCCTTGTGCTGCCAGAGGCTGCAGGGTATGAAGACTCCTCGCAGGGCGTGCGGGRCCTGGCTGGGGGGGCCGAGGCTGCCCAGCAGGAGCAAGGCCTGGCCCCAGCCCTGCGCTGCAGGAGGAAACGCCCTCTGTCCCTGGTGCCTGGGGGCTGAGGCCTGGGTTCTGGGCCTGCACCTTGGGCTCCAGCTCCTACCCTGGCTGGCACCCGGGAAGTGTCCGAGCTCTAGGAGCTTTGTCCTGCTCCTGGGGAAAGTGACAGTCCCTGCCTTACAGGAGGGAAGGAGCGTGAAGGCCAAGGACAAAGGCCTCTCTGGATGCCCAGTGGAGGCAGCTGGCTCCAGGCCTTGCCCTCATGCTGTTCACTTCCCGCCCAGCCTTGCCAAGCTGGTCCTGGGGCTCCCAACTCCCCTCCCAGTGTCCCCCAGTCTTGTCCTCTTCCTTCCTGGCTCCCAGCCCTCCAGATCCTGCTGGACRCAGGACTCCTGGCCTTGACTCCCTCTCTGGCTTCTAGGCCCCTTTCTGGTCAGGAATATTCCAGCATTTCCTAGGACTCAGCTTTCAAAAGCCAAATGCACCCATCCCTAAATATATCTTGCTCAGACCCCCTCTAGTCATCTACCTGTCTTTAAGACTTGGCAGCCGTGCTGCCTCCTCCAGGAAGCCCTCGGGGATTTCCCAGGCCTCTCCTTGAGCTTCCTCATGGTTCTTTTTCACAGTCACTTGAGCTCTTGTTTGCACCTGGAAGTGCCGGCTTCATCTTGTTCACGCGGGACCCCACTGTCCAGCACAGCGCCCCACTGCTCAGCTGGTCTTTGCTGGGTTGAAACCCTGGTTAACCCCCCTCCAATCCCCACGTCACCCCCCTTGCCCACACTGGCTGCTTCATATCAGAGCGACTTACGGCTGCGGCTCCAGGGCTCCTTCCCAGGTGGCTGCGCACCCCTGGCCAGGCGCTCCTGGCCACGCCCCTGCTGGTGATGGACCAGGGGAGGAGCATACCCTGGGGCAGCGGAGGAGGGCAGGGTGGACTGTGGGAAATCTGGTCCCCAGCTCAGCCACTGGGGCTTCTCCCAGCCCCAGGCCCTCAGGAACACCCCACGTGTTGGCTTTTCGGGGCGGGTGTCTCTGCTTCAAGCCAGGGGGGCTTGGTGTTCTGCACGGGGACCGCCAGCTCCTYTCCTGTTGCAGGGAAGCCACAGAGGACTCGCCTGCAGAGGGAAGAGCATCCTGGGTCTCTCGGGTCTGGAATTCCTGGCCTCCGCCATCCCTGGCCTCCRCCTCCCGGTGGCTGGGATGACAGTCATGCACCCCTGCGCCCGCCTGGGCGCCCTCGTTTGTAAGACTGGGATTGCCAACGTGCCCGTCTTGCAAGCCTGGGGATGTGGTGTCCCTCTGAAAATTCTGAGAGTTGGAGTCACCATGTCCTTAAGGAGGTTGATTAATAACCAGTCAAATCTCTAGATGGCAGGACACTTGTCCTTGGCCTTGTTGTGGAATCCTGTTCCTGAGTGAGGTGCAATGGCCTACCTGGGAGTGGGTTAAGAGCTGGAGGCCTGGGGTTTCCATCTGCACTGGCCACTCCGGCCTCTTCGTCCCCACATGGCTGCCTGCTACTGAGCAGTTGCAAGGGACCCTACTGGTTGCTTGCGGCAGCCCTGCCCTGTGGGACCTGCCTCATCCCACCACTGTCCAAATAAGACCTCTTTCCTCTGGGGACACCTGCTCAGCTTCTCTCTACCTGTGCCCCACCCCACTCCCCTGTGCACACAAAGGCCACCTGCAGGAGCAGCTCGGTTAGTGTCGTGGGTGGGGACGTCCTTTACACSGTCACCATCCTGAGGAGGATCAAGAGGGGTGGGGCCAGTGCCCTTTGCTCAACAGTTTGCTTTCTTTGCTGTGACTTTTAAATSACTCCATGAGGTGGGCAAAGCAGGGGTCCTTAGTGCTGCCCTGGGACAGGAAGGGAGGCCCAAGGTGCCGGATGGCCTGCCTTGGCCACAGCCCTCAGCGGGGCAGCACTGACACTCCAGCCACAGAACAGGGTCCGAGAAGCAGGCCCCAGGACCTCAGCCAGGGAAACCGTCAGCTGGCCCCAGGGAGACCGCTGGGCACTGAGCCTGAGCATTAGGCAAATGAGCAACTCCAGGAAGCACAAAGCCACRGAGCAGCAGGTGGTGACAGCAGGTGACAGAGGTCCTCTAGCTCCTGACACACTGCAGCCCTGGTGGCCTATCCGTGACCTCCCGYTCTGGGTCTAGAGGAAGTAAATCCTGTGACAGGTCACACAGTAGCAGGGGGTGGAGTGGGAACGCAGCCATGTCTGACCCAGGGACCAACACTCCAGCCCTGGAGCATCAGAATAATAATGTTAACAATCAGAGGCTCACTCCTTGCACGTTCCTTTGGGTCCTCCTGCCACCAAGAAGTTGATGTAAGATAAGGTTAGCCAGGCAGGGGACACACCCAGGAGAGGTGACAGGCAGGGAGGAGCCKGGAGGCTGGGAGGCAGGACAGGTCCCAAGGCCGGGGAGCAAGRGGGGCTGGTGGGAGCAGCTCAGGCTCTGGGGATCTCGGGGCACTTGTCAAGGCCCCAGGTGTCTCTGAGCTAAAGTGGCCCRTCAGAGGGCCCCTGTGTCTCCTAGATATAGACCTGCCATGAGTCCCTGCCATGACTGGTCACCTGTGGGAGCGGCTGTGGGACCACGGCCCTGGCGCCAACGGGGAAACAGGGTTGCTGATCCCACAGGCTGCACTGGGCCCCCCATAGCAGACCCGAGAGGACCGTCTGTGACATGCACTGCATGTGTTTTCTCTTGTCATCCTGAAAAACCAATTGGAGAGGCAGACGGGGGTCATTCCACCTCAGAGTGAGAAAGCTCCATTTCACAAATGAGATCACGGAGCTCAGGGCAGACGGAGAGGTGTGGGACAGGCCAGGCCCAGTGGGCCCGCGTACTCCCAGGGACGGGCCAGCAGTGCCAGCCGGGCTCCCCCTCTTCTCCTCCCTGGGAGCCAGGAGCGGKTCTCCCGTGGTCACGGAGGAGGGGTGCAGGCGGGGGTCTGAGCCCGGTTCCTCCAGCCCCAGGGTCCGGGCTGTCAGCTCCGAGCCACTGTCTTCTCAAGCCTGGGCCTGTCTGTGTGTGCCCAACCCTGGGAAACTGGCTTCTGTGCCCACAGAAAATCTGTCAGCGGGAGCCCGAGGGGCGCGTGAAGGTGGATGTGGTGTTGCGGGCGGCCGAGGCGCTCCTGGCGTGCTGCCCTGAGGACCAGAAGCCGGAGATCCTGGCCCGGCTGAAGGACATCAAGGCCCAGTGGGAGGAGACCGTCACCTATATGACCCACTGTCACAGGTAGGGCAGCCAGGACCGGGGACCCACCAGGGCTGCCGACCCTCCTTGGCCAGCACCACACTGGCCTGGAACCTGTGTCCAGGGGGCATTTCTCAGTCTGGGGATTCCTGGAACAGGATGTTCTCTGGGGGTTCGGGCCCGGCCTGCCTGCTCTTCCTCATTAGTATCCAGCTTAATGATGACAATAGATACTGGGAGCCCCAGGTTTGCTAACGAATCCTGGTAGCCTGCTCACTCGTACGTCCTCCAGGATAGCCCCCGAGAAGAAGGCCTGGCCTGCCAGCTTTGGCCCCATGCTCTGCCTGCACCAGGGAGCCCGGCTTGGGGGCAGGGGTTGGAGAGGAGAGACACAGAGACTCACACAGACCTGGCCTCCACTGGAGCCCGTTACTTGCTGTGTGGTTGCTGTGTGGTCTYGGGAAAGTTACCTGACCACCTTTTKTTTTGGTGCTGGGATTGAACCCAGGRCCTCATAAATGCCAGGCATACAATTGACCACTGAGCCACATCCCCAGCCTCTGAGCCACAGGCACTTCCTCCAGTCACGGGGGCCGCCAAGTGCTCCTGAAGGTTAGGGGGATGGTAGAGATGACCAACGGCAAGGGCAAGGCCCGGTGCTGTCTTCCAAACCCTCGTGCTCAAAATTCCCAACAAAGTGGCTTGAGGTTTGCTGCCTGGAGCGAGAGGGCCAGGTCCGCCTTACAGATGGGAGGGTTCTGCGGTGGCTCAGGGGCCCCTGAGGCCGGTGGAGAGGCGTGCTCACGCTGAGAGTTCACGGCGCCCCTGGAACCCACATGCAGGCCGCAGTCCCCYACTGGATAGTAACTAGCAAGCCACAGACACCACTGCATCTCCACGTTGATGGCACAGTCCTGGGTGACCTTGTCCTTCCTGACTGTGGACAGCACATGGCAGGGGCCCAGGCCGTGTGTTCAGAGTCCCGGTGGCAGGGAGATTTTGGAGGGATTGGTGTGTTGATCGTGGAACTGGGGTGCTGGTGGCTTACTACTGCCTGAGCCGCATCACTGGCTGGTGGTTCTCAGGACACACCTGATGCTGAGCCACGGCCTCACTGGGAGCTTATCAGCAGGACAGGAGGGTCTCTTCCTGGGGGACCGAGCGAGGTCTAGAATCTGGAGTGKCGGCCAGCTGTCCAGTGACCCTGGGGAACACACAGGGCCTTCTCCATGGCCCCTGGTGCTGGGGCGGGGACAGTGGCATGGCCCCTGCCCAGGAGCCAGGCAGCACCTCCCCATGGCCTTGTGCTCTGTGCCCACAGCCGCATCGAGTGGGTGTGGCTGCACTGGAGCGAGTACCTGCTGGCCCGGGACGAGTTCTACCGCTGGTTCCAGAAGATGACGGTCACTTTGGAGCCCCAGGTGGAGCTGCAGCTGGGCCTGAAGGAGAAGCAGTGGCAGCTGGGCCACGCCCAGGTGCTGCTGCACAACGTGGACAACCAGGCCGTGCTCCTGGACCGGCTGCTGGAGGAGGCGGGCTCCCTGTTCAACAGGATCGGGGACCCCAGCGTGGACGAAGAGGCCCAGAAGAGGATGAAGGCCGAGTACGACGCAGTGAGGGCCAAAGCCCAGGTGAGGCCAGCCGTGCCCTATCCAGCCACCTCCCCGCCATCCATYCACCGTTCACTGTCCAGCCGCCCAGCACCCACGCCCCCGCCCTCCCTTCAGCACCCTCCTGGCCACCTTCTCCCTCCTCACCACCTGCCTCCCACTGTCACCAAACCTGTCTGGCCCCCACCCTGCCCACTGACCCAGCCAGCCCTCTACCCACCCATCCCCCCAGCCTAACCTGTTCATGTGCTCAACCTGGTGACCACCCACCCATCGTGCACCTGCCCCTCGGCCCACCCACCTCGTCACCCACATTCACCCATCTCTCTCCCCGTCCACCCCTCACCCACCTGCCCTTATCTACTGTCTCCATCCTCTGATCCACCACCCACCAGGCACCTGTCCGTCACCTTCTACCTACCCGTCCATCTGCTGCCGCCACCCACCACTCCCCATTACCCACACATGCCCAGAGTCGCTCAGGGCTTGATGTGCCTGAGTCCACAGGTGGTGACCAGTGGCTGGTCACTGTTCTTCTCCACCCGAGCAGTACCCTTCTCTCTCATCCCTCCCTCCTCCCCCTCCTGTCCCTCGCCTACCCCCGTCCTCCGCCCGTCCCTTGCCCACCTTGCCTTGACTCATTGGGTTACGGAGTTCACGTGATGAAGTTCTGTTTGGTTCTTTATTATGTCCACTTATTCTTTCTTTATCAAATGTCCTTTTTTCCTGAAGTCTCCTGTTCCTCCTGGATGMGGATCGTCTTCTGAGCATGTGTACTTCTCGGTCCCCACGGGGCTGTTCAGGCAGCTAAAGCCCCAGGGTCTGGTGCTRCTGCTCATGTGTCTCCTGTTGGGGKGACTGTTTCCYGGGGGGCTCTGGGAGCGGGAGCTGTGAGTCACCCCAAGCAGGCTTGCTCTGTGTGTCCTCGGGGGTGGAACATGCCCCGCCTGCAAAACTCCCCTGGGAATTTACCTTCATAGTCCCCCTGGGGATTCCCGAATTAAGTGGGTTCTCTAAACTGAACCCCAAACCCAAACTGTGGAACAGGCCCCTGGCTCTGTATTCCGAAGGTGACTGGTTCTGTCTGTTAGGCCTAGTCTAAACCACGATTTCTGTCTCACGCTGACTTTATAGACATATGTGTTTCTAGTTGCCCTTGGCTGGTGGGGGCAGGAAGCCCCCTTAGGGCTCCCTTGTAGGGGGTCTCTGCTTCCTCTGTGGCCAAAGTTCATGCAGAGTCCAGCCTGAGCGCTCAGCCCCAGCTTCTAGAAACCAAGCCCAGTGTGCATCATGGGGAGTTCTCCGCAGCTTCCCTCCTGGGCTGGGGACTGTTCCTTCCCACTGTGCCAGGGGTGTGCTGGGGGACAGGGCTCGCTCCCTCTTCCCCACGATCCTGCTGGCCTGGCCAGAGGACAGCGCAGGGCTGGAAGTCTCCTGGGCTCCTCCCGCTCAGCTCAGGGGAAACAAGCCCCATAGTAAGCASAGACAGGGAATCGGTGGGGAGCAAGGTGGTCCCCGAGTGAAGAGACTGAGTTCAGGGTCAGGCTGCTGCTTCCCAGCTGTGTGGCCTGGGGGCCGCTCCCCAGCTCTGCCAGGTTGCCAGGGCTGCTGGAGACACCTGTGTGCTCTTTAAAATCAGCAGTGTTTTCCCAGCATGGAGGACAGCCTCTGCACCAGGTGGGTGAGAATAAATAGCAACAGCACCCATGTTGGGYGTGCAGCAGGTGCTCAGGGCTGTTGGCTGGATGCACAAGTCCCCACCCCTGCAGCAGGAAGGCGAGCAACCAGCGGGGCCCCAGTGGGCCGTGGCAGAGGTCCTAGGACAGCTGCTCAGGGGTCAGGAACTGGAAGGGCCAGGYGGGTATCAGGTTCGTTCTTGCAGGTGTAGCAGCTGATCTCGTCCAGCAAGCCAGATCCCAAGTGGCCAGGGCAGGCTCAACAGCAGTTCTCTCTCCAGGTCTCCCCTTGGGCCCTTAAAGGGCACAGTGCTGGCCCTTCGTCCTGACGGTACAGAAAACAGGTGCCTGTGCCCATCAGCAGAGCCCCTAGTGCAGGGTGCAGAGGAGAGGGMACGGAAGCTGCTGGTGTCCACGGGGTGGGCGGACGCCAGGGTGCTGGCTGAGCACTAATTCTGGCCCCRAGGCAGGAATGGTCACCTCGGAGAGTCTCACTGTCATTCCAGGGGACTTCCCCCTCACATGGGCCAAAAACCCATAGAAATGGCAACTCTTATTGGAAAGCCCGACTTTTTACAAGCCTCTTCCTGACTCTGGCCTCACTCGATTCCTGCAGCCTTCTTATGAAGTAGACAAAGAAGATGTTATTGGGCTCAGTAATCCCAGGGTCTGACAACCCTGGCCACTGGAAGAGACAGAAGTTCTGGGTGGCTCCCTAGGAGCTCCACCTGCAGCTGGGCCTCAGGTCCTGGGCGCATCAACACACCTGGGCRCATCTTCCCAGCGCTGGGCCCTCAGTGCTTCTGCGGGTCAGGCTGGGAAGTGACAAGCAGCAGAGGTGGGGGCGCTCGGGACCCCTGAAGGAGGGTGCGCGTCCTGCCAGGTTTCCACGAGGCTGGGGGGGCCTGGGGGGCCGGGGTGTGGGTCCTCCACTGAGACGATAGCAATGTGGGGGCAGCTGCCCTGGTGGAAGGCCCCCAGAGTTGCCAGAAGAGCTGGTCAGTGTGACTCCGATGTGGCAGTGGGTGCTGGTGTGTGGGGGTGACTGGATCCTGGTTCCAGAAGTGAATCCATTTGGCGTTTKCAGCTGTTGGCTCAAGTCCCTGGACCCTGGATTTTCTCTTCCTGGCCCCAGAGGTTCGGCAACACTCCCTACTCCGAGGGAACCCATTCWGCTTTGGATGGGGAGGGATGTGGCACTCGGTGAGGTCTTCCCCAGAGCTGACTGAGGGGGGACCGAGGTGGGCAGAGGGCAGGGCCAGGCGGGCCCTCTGGGTCCTCTGCAGGCCCACTCAATGGATCTTTCCAGGTTGAGGAGCCAGAGTTCCCACCAGGTTCCCAGAGGGTGCCACCACCTTGGAACACTGACAGGCTACTAAGAGGGCTGTGGCCCAAGGTCCTCCTCAGCACAGTGGGATCTGGCCCCAGGGAACCAACTCCGGGGCTCACCCTGGCCTGCCAACCCTGGACATAAGGAAAATGCTCGGGCTTCGTCCCAAGCAGGAAATGCAGATCCAGTGGCCCCAAAGAGCCTTGGWGGTCCAGAGTCCCCTGGTCACCTGCTCTGCGTGTTTGATGGCCGACCTCACTTTGCATGAAAGGCTCCCTCAGGGCACCTTTGACTGCACAAGGGCCTGTGAGGGTCAGTCCTGGGAACTTCCTCTGGGTCCAGGCCTGACCTTGGGGTGGGGAGGGTCCAATGTTGGTGGGGAGGGGACCGGCGTGGCCTCTGGACGGTGAGATTCTGGGTTGGGCMACAGGCTGAGCCGAGCTGAGCAGAGACACAGGCTGGCCCAGAGCAGGCRGAGGGAAATCAGGCTGGTGGCCGGTTGCCCAGAGTGTCCTGCTTGTTTGTGTTTAATCCACGACTTCCGTTTGCCAAAGCACAAGATGAAGAGCAGCGTCCTCTTTCTTCCGGCCTCCCCCTCTCCCTGTGGGCCTCAGAGAAGCAGTGTTTGTCTGGTACCTCGGCCACTGCTCAGAGACACAGATCCACGCTGCCCTTGCTCACTGGCTGGGCTGTGACATCCCTGATGGCTCCGCTGGGCCACAGACGGCTTGATTGTTGGGTCTAACGAGAAGGCGGAGCACTCTCCCATGTGTCACCCCTGACATCTTCGCACGGCCACGCTGGACCCTGCCGTGAGGGCTGCGCCTGGCACGGATCTCGTCTGGATCCCGGCCCTGCCCGCCACTCCTCGCGAGCGCCTGCTTCCCATCACCGAGACTTATTTACTCTGGACGTGGCGGGTGCCAGCGCCTCATCACTCACACACTGGGCACYTCCCGTGGGCCCTTCCTGGGGACGTGGGGAGAGGAATGCACTTCCCTCCCACATCCGTCACCATCAGCATCCACGGGCCAACAGCCTCCGCTGGCTGCTCCTGACCTRCGACCCACGGTGTTTACAGATGAACCTTCCCTGGGAATGGGGGAGCTGGGCGGGGGTTCTGATGGATGCCAACAGTCCCTCGGGGCTTGGGGAGCCGGCCAGGGAACCGGCCAGGTTCCAGCACCCTCCCCACGGCTGCAGGGGACGGTTCCTGTCCAGGGTCCACTTTGGGATGTAGGCACTTGTTTTGAGAGAACTGYTCAGTTCTTCCCTGAGGAGCTTGGTCTGAAGCCTGGGAGTCTTCGTCTCTAAAATGGGGGGTTTTCTCCGGTCGTGATGGTTGTTACGGAGGGTTAAATGGATCAGTGTTTCTAGATTTGGTGAGAAGCTTCTCAAAGGAGAGGGAGCTTGCACAAGCCGCTGGGGACGTTTTTCTGGTCCACTTGCCTGTGTCTCTTCCCAGTTGAGAGCTTCTGACTTAGCCTCATGGCAAGCAGGGGCCCCCCTGGGCGTGGCCTCTCTCCAGGATGAAAAGCCCAGGTCAGCAAACTGCAGTCCTTGTGCCAAATCCAGCCCCGCCCCTGCTTGTGTCTGCCCTGGGAGCTGGCGGCGGTTTCCACATTTTTAAATGGTTGGGAGAAGTTAAAAGCTGAATGTTTCGTGATGGCAAAATGGCATGGAATCCCAACTTTACTATCCAAAATGAAAGCTGTGTTGGAACATGTCATCCTTGACACCCTGGCTAAGGATGCTCCTGTCCTRCCACAGAAGTGGCCGTTACGTGGCTGGCGGGTTGCAACAGAAATCAGGCGGAGGGCAAAGCCAGACCCCATGCCGTGCAGCCCTTGATAGAAAGTCTGCCAGGCCTCACTCGAGCGGTGATTTGGGGTCTGACACTTGAGGCTTGAACCTTGATTCTGTCAAGAGTTCTGTGACCTCCTGACTCTAGTTTGGACAGTGGCAGGAGAGAGGTTTTGTGGCATCGTGTTAAAGAAGRTAATGCGTAAGTTCCAGTCACACTATGGAATGAGCTGCCGTCTTTTCCCTTCTCTTGACTGTCCCTGGAAAGTCCCTTTGTTGGCTGACACCCAGGGTCTGCTCTTCCTGTCACTCAGGAGGCACACCTTGAGCCGGCCCTGAGCTAGATGACATAGTCGGGCAGCGTGGTCTGTAGTGATCTCCTGGTCCCCCTGAAGGTGGAACCTGATGGAGGGGTGCTGGGCTAGAGTTGCATCCTCGTGTTTTGGAAATACCCTGGGCCTCCAGGGTAGTGGGCAGAGCTYCAGAGAAAGAAGGCAGGGCCCTGGGGTCAGCTCTGCCAGGTGGTGCTGTGTACTGTGCCAGAAGCCCTGGGAAGCAGGGGATAGTAAACTATGAYTCATGGTTACCAAGTGCTTCCTCGCTGCAGGGCACTGTCCTTAGAGTGGCACAAGCCCTGGCTCATTTCATCTCCCTGCACCCCAATAAGGTTGTTAGGAAGGAAGAGACTCCGGCAGAGAGGAGTCCATGACATGCCAAGGTTCCAGCCACAGGCAGTGGGTTCCCTGGCCCCAGGCCTTGACCACTGGACCACAGAGCCTCATGCCAAGGACCTGTCTTGGGATGCCAGAATTTATAACTTGCATTTCAGCCTGGGACAGTAGGGAGCCATCAAGGGGCTTAAGAGACAGCACTGTGATCAGGGAATGTCTAAAGAACAGTCTCTAGGAGCACAGTAGGTCTCACAGCAGGGATACTGTCATTTCCCCAAGTATCAACTACCCTGCCTCTGGGGCGTTAGACCTTCAGTGGGACTGGCGGAAGGTCAGATTCCAGCCCATGCAGTAAGCATCACCATGTCTGTGGGGAAAGGGGCAGCCTGCGTACCCTGTAGGCATGGTGCTAGAACTGCCTGTTGGCCCTGTGTTTCCACCCAGGTTTGCCTTCCCACTGTCTGAGCCTGGCCACCTTGGGCAAGTCCTTTCACCTCTCTGAGGCTCAGTGTCCTCCTCTGCCAAACCTGAATAATCACGGGAGCACTGCATGGGCCGCCAGGAGAGCTCAAGGAGCTTGAGTCTGTAAAGCTCTTAGCAGGTCGCCATGGTGCTAAGCACTGGAAGGGACAGTGTTCCGGGGGAGTGTTGTCCTTGTTGTCACCAAGCCCCAGGTGTTGAGTGCCCTTCCTAGGACACAGCAGCAAAGAACACCAGCAGTAGAGTTAAAGGCAGGGACAGCCAGACGGGGGACCCTCACAGCAGGTTCTCCCCTCCYGCAGGACCGGGTGGACGTGCTGGAGCGGGTGGCCCAGGAGCACGAGCAGTACCAGGCGAGCGTGGAGGAGTTCCAGCTGTGGCTGAGGGCCGTGGTGGAGAAGGTGCACGGCTGCATGGGGCGGGGCTGCACGCTGCCGGCCACGCTCCGCCTCTCCGCGCTGCAGGTACGTCCCAGCCCGAGGCCCCGGACGCCGTGGAGGGAGCGCCCCCCTGCGGCGGGTTCTGAGTTACAGTTAACAGGGCAGCGCCTGGGCACAGACCCTGCCCTGAGCAGGAGCCAGGCATCCAGCGCAAAACGCTGGGGGTCTGGCTGCTTCACGAAAGTCCGGGAGCCAGGGGCCATTTTTGGACACGCAGGACCACAGCAGCGTGGTCTAGACCCGCGGGTTTCAAGGCAGGCAGGTGGCAATGTCCAGACACATTTTTATTTGTCACAACTGGGGGTGGGTGAGCTGAGATCAGGGATGCTGCTAAAMACCCTCCAATGACCAGGACAGCTCTGCAGCAGGGGATGACCCAGCCACTCATGTCAGTAGTGCCCGGGAGAAGAGCCCTGGGTGGACCTCGGGCCCTCAGTCCAGAGACGCTGGCCTTTGTGACTGCATGACCCTGGAGCGACCCCGGCTCCCTTTGCTAAGTGAGTGGGCAGGTCATCCTCAATAATTCAAGAGCCATGTGGCACCTGATGGGTGTGTTTCGTATTTGTATTTAATGGACTTACTTTTTAAAATGTTGATGAAAGTTATTCAGAAAACAAAACACATTGTCATAAATGGAAACCCAGCACCATTCATCATATAAATACAGTGAAACTGTCCCCACAGTGCTGTCAATGGCTCTGTGCCTTAAAAAGATGGACCAGTGCCCAAAAGTGCTAAGTCAGAGAAGCACCCAGCCCACTTTCTCCTTGACCTAGTCAAAGGCTTGAGAAGGGCTTGGGAGGGACTCAGGTGCTCACCCTGCCGCCCATCCTAGGGCAGAGAGTCCACCTGGGCAGCCCTAACCCAGGAATCCAGGGATGAGTGCCCGCGTGGCATCCCAGGTCTGCTTTCCCCCTGCCCTCCCCGCTTCAGGACATCGCCAAGGACTTCCCCCGGGGCCAGGAGTCTCTGAGGAGGCTGCAGGAGCAGTCGGAGGGCGTCATTCAGAACACCTCTCCTCTGGGCGCGGAGAAGATCCTGGGAGAACTGGAGGAGATGCGGAAGGTCCTGGAGAAGCTGCGMGGCCTCTGGGAGGAGGAGGAGGAGCGGCTGCAGGGACTGCTCTCGTCCAGGGGGGCCTGTGAGCGGCAGATTGGGCTGCTGGAGGCCGAGCTTGGAGAGTTCCAGAAGGGACTTCAGAGGCTGGCCCAGGAGGGCCTGGAGCCTGCAGGGAAGGAGGCAGGGACCGAGGACGAGCTGGTGGCCCGCTGGAGGCTGTACTCGGTGAGTGAGGTTTGGCCAAGCCCTGGAGCGGTCCAGGTGTGTGAGCCTGGGGGTCGCCACTCGGAGCTCCTCCGTGGGACGGAACAGCCACCAAGCCTTACGCACACCCCCTTTGGCCTCCTGGGTCTCTGGTACCTTCCTGGAGGGGTAGAGGACAAATGGGTGTTCACCCCCATTTTCCAGATGAGGAAACTGAAGCCCAGAGAGAATCCCCCCCACCATTCCCAAGGTCATAGGGTGAGTTAGAGAGTAAACACCAGAGGTAGACAGGGCCTCAGAGCCACTCCCTTGGTGGCTTGGGGTGGACATCTCAGTAGAGAACAGGCTGTTACCACAGAAAGAAAAGCTTGTAATGGAGACATGACGAGTGACAGACACAGCAGTGGGGGAGTCTGGGGAGGCCAAATGGAGGATGGTGGGGTGGACTCCAGACCCAATCAGAGGACACCCTGCTCCTATACACTCAGGAGATGTATTAGTCACCATCCTGTCATATCACAGAATACCTGAGGCAATTCACTTATAWAGAGAAAAGGTTTGCTTTGGTTCATGGTTCTGAAGGCTCCAGTCCATGATCTAGTGGCCCCATTTCTGTGGACCCCTGGCTCATACCAAGAGCTCATCTCATGAGTCAGGAAGAGGAAGAGACTGGGGCCCCAGAGTCCTCCCCAAGGGTACGCCGCTTCCCCCAAGGACCTAGGGATTTCCCGGTCTCATCTCCTCAAGATCCACAGCATCTTCCAAATGCATCGGCCTCCCCTCCTTCTAATCTTTGCCCATAGACAAAAATGTTTTTGGAGGTAGTAGCAGGCAGTGACCAAGGGCATGCACTCTTTYGGCTTTCTTGAGATTCAGTCCTGTGGCAGACCAGGTCACACTGCAGCGATCATCTTCCTGCAAGGGAACCGTTTCCCCTCTGCATGAGCAGAAGGTGCTGTGGTCCAGGGTTAGGGCCAGGAGACTCTGGGGCCAGACCTCCTGGGATCAGCGCTGCTTCCTCCCCTTGCTTTTGGGATGGCTTCRGGAGGATTGCTTTAGCCTCGGTTGCCTGTGAGTTGGGGGAAATGACAGAGCATTTGGAATTGCATTTGCCACAAAGGCAGGCTCCCACCAGCCCACTAGTGGCCCACATCACCCGAGCGTCTCCTAGAATCCCTCCCAGGGCTTCCTTCCTTTGATCCTGTTCCCGGGGATTCCCTGTGACTAAGCCTGATTGGGGCTGCCCRTGGGTTCATCCCTGTGCAAGGAGGTTCTGAGGTCAGCTCAGGAGGGCAGAAGCCCAGGGCTGCCTCTGGGAGACTGGGTGGCAGCCGCCCTGGGCCCCTGATTTGCCCGCGTGCCTGGTCAGTGCCACCTGTCCCCTGTGGCTGGTGGGAGCATGCCCCTTGTATCGTATGGGACAGTTTTCAGGCCTGCCCTGTGTTGCACCCCCCCATCCCCAAAGTGCTCTCTAGCATCCCACCCTGCCTCCTCCTGAGCAGGAGYCCAGAGGGGCTTGAGTTCTGCAGGTCAAGGTCAAATTCCAATGTCCCCAGCCAGCAGGACAAGGSAGCCTCTGGAGGGGCTGATCTCAGTGAGGTGAAGCGATTTGAGCACTTCCTGGTGGTCCGTCTGTAGAAGTAGAGATTCACAGAGCACCCTGTGGTGCACGCTCCATTTTGTGCTGATGAGGTGGCCCAGCMGTGAGGCACACAGTTTGCAGGTTTCACGACCATCCAAACCGCTAAGGCCGAGTGTCCTTGTGTAGAACATGGGCCAGCCTCTCTCCAGGCTGGTGGTGAGGCTCGGGTGGATGGGGCACCTGGGGCGCTCTGCAGGGGACAGCGTGCCCTCTGCCCTGGGTGTTTGTGCATGAGGAGCTGGCAGCTGCCACCAGCATATTCAGAGGCAGGTGACAGTAAGAACTGCAGCTCAGAGAGGAAAGGCCAGCCTAGGAATGAGCTGACGGGCCCCAGCCCCTGCCCTCGGCGACAGGCTCCTCCGACCTGGCACCACTCACTGGCCTGTGCTCAGCCCCCTGAGATCTGTGGCCATCCCCTTGAGGAGCCTCATCCACCCTGGGGTGTCATCCTGTCCTGCAGGCAACACGGGCAGCGCTGGCCTCCGAGGAGCCCCGGGTGGCCTGGCTACAGGCCCAGCTGAAGGACCTTGTGGCCTTTCCCGACCTGCAGCCGCTCTCCGACAGCGTGGTGGCCGCCATCCAGGAGTACCAGAGGTACCCGGGGAGCCCAGGGTGGGCAGGACTGTGGTGCACCCGCCTCCCGCTGAGTGACCGGCTGCTGCGGGTCCTCCCTCGGCTCAGGCGCTGGGCCCTCTAGATCTGTTCTGGGTTTTGCTCCTAAAAGAGGCCTGGACTGTCTCTGTCCTTGGTGGRCAGCGCAGCGCCCATTCCATCAAGTCTCTTCACGCCAATTAACATCAGGAAGGGTTCACCACGCAATGGCCCAAGGGGAGGGCTACTCAATAGGTCAACAGCAGTGCCCTGCCTCTGGCCACTCTGGGACCTCAAGCGCATCTTCAGACCAGCCTCTGCCTGTCCCCTCAGCCGGTGGGCATAGCCTGGCAGTGGAGATGGCTTCCCTCTGAGGCCTGAAGCAGCGTGGACACGTGGGGCGTGGCCCTCTTTYCCCCGAGACGTGCTAACACAGCACAGCGGCCACTGCTGGGTGCGGGCTCCCTCAGGCAGAGCAGGGGTCCAGCTTGCAGTGTCTCTCCCCCACAGCCRTGCCCAGGTCCCCCTCTCCAGAATCAAGGTCATGGCCTGGGTCCTCTGTGAGGTGCTCCAGGGTGTGTGTGTGGGGGTTTATGCCGAGGGTCAGAGTGGCCGAGGGGCTTCCTCTGCCTCTGCTTTCTGTCCTGGAGCTTTCCAGGGCTGCACATCTCTGGGAGCTGGACCTTGGATTTGAAAACGTGCTCCTAGAAATGAGCAGGGCCTGGGGTGCTGTCTGTTAACAGAGGGTTCTGATGGCCTCCGCTGGGGCAGTGCCCGTCTCAGGTCTTCACGGTTTACCCTGCGGCTTGCAGTCCCCTGGCCAGGAGTCCCCTGGCTCACCTGCTGTGGCCTCTTGTCCTGACAGCATGGACCTGGAGGCCCAGCTCTGGGATGGGTGAGGTTTTCAGAACCTGCCGCCCTTGGTGGACCTTACCCCCCACTCCTTGGGGAGTGTCAAAAGCCCAGCTCGATTTTGCAGCCATTACATTACAGATGGGCAAAGCCCTCGGGGTCAAAGGAGCCCTGGACACTAAACCCCATTCCTGTGTTTTGCTCATTTTTAAAATTAGACCAAGCTTTTGCAGTTATTGGTTCATCCTCAGCGGGAGGGCCAGGCCTCTCTTCCCAGGAGACGTCTCTGTACTATCTCAGTTAGCACTCACAAGTGTTTTGGGGGCACCATGTTCCCCATTTGTCAGGTGAAGAAACTGAGGCTCCAGGATGAGCCACCTAGATCATAGACTCGTCTGCCAGACTTGAGACTCCCGGGCGTCCACACCTCCCCTGGACTCGGAGGACGCTCACACGTCTTATTTATGTACAAGCGCAGAGGCCCCGGGAGCCCTGGGGTCTGAGCCCAGGAAGACCTGAGCACGTGCTGAGGCCTTTCCACGTCACCCGGAGTCCCTTCCCCCGTACCTCGTGGCCATTGCTGCAGACCCTCCCAGCAGCCCGCGGGACAGAGAGGGCCCACCCTGAGGCAGTGCTCCTGGGCTCCCTGGGGGTCCGGCGGGGCCTCACCCGGAGCTGACCCCGCTTTCTCTTTCTTGGTCCTCGCAGCATGAAGGGGAAGAGCACCAGGCTCCGCAATGCCACGGGGGTGGAGCTGTGGCAGGGCTTCCAGCGTCCCCTGCAGGGCCTGCAGCTGTGGAGGGCGCTGGCCCAGCGGCTCCTGGGGGTCACCGCCAGCCTGCCAGACCTGCCCTCCATCCACACCTTCCTGCCCCAGATCGAGGTAACTGCGCCAGGAGGGCTGGCTTCTGTGGCCGGGAGGCTGCTGGCTGAGCATGGGGCACATTGGCCACCGTCCTGGGGACAGGTGTGTCCCTGGCCCCACAGACACGGGCTCCAGCTCATTGCTTGGGCAAGACCTAGTGCACAGGGAATGTCATGTTGTCATCTGTGATTCAGGTCATCCTTAAACTTGGGTAGGAGGCGAAGCCTGGGAGGACCCCAGGACGCCCCACTGACCCTCTCCCACCCAGGGGTAGCTCCCCTTTTCCTTCTGGACCCCACCATAGGCCGTCCTCTGTGGAACATTAGCCGTTCTGTGAGAAAGCGGCGTTGTCAGGCCAGTGCCTTCACTGTGGCTACAAGTGACAAAAGCTGCCCAGTGACAGGTTAAAACACAGGCTGACTTTAGGACTGAGTGTCATCTAGGCTCTACCTAGCTCCAGGTGGTGGTTCTCCTTCTGGCTCCAAAATGGCTGCCACCACCCCACACACGCATCCCCCACAAGCAACACCTGTTGCAGGAGGGAACTGTGGGGGCCGAAGGGCTCCTTCCATCACCACTTCACTATCATCAGGGAGGCCCATCCCAGAAGCTCCAGCAGCTTTTCTTACATCTCACTGGTCCCTCAAAGTCACTTGACCATCACTGGACCAACCACTGGCTGAGGATGACGGGATCCCTGGGACTGGCCTGTGGCCATGGTCTCAATAACCCGGGCATCCAGGTGGGCACTTGGTCACCCAGCCAACATGCTGGCTACTGGGTGAGGGAGGAGGAAAGGCCATGGGGTGAGCAGCTGGCAGCAGCTGCCATGGTCAGTGCTGTCCACAGAGACTGAGGGTCACCTGTCAACACTGCTCTCTGCCGTCACTGAGCTCTGAAGTCCACCGAATGCTTCTGTCCCCAGTCGTAGACGGGTAGAGTGGAAAGGGACACAAAAATGTGCCGGGTGTCGGCCTCCTTTTTACACTAGTGTTCCTTCTGACTGTAGAAGGCCTACCTGCCAGAGAACGGGAGTCCCCCAGGCCGCAGCGCCACCGTTGCCCTGTGGGGACACTATCTCTAGCACTTTTCCCGCCCCCCTAGGTATCCGCCCTGGAGGGCATTTCTTGACCCTAGACCACGGCCCACGTCTTGGAGCTCCAGAGGATTTTCCATTTGGGGCTCGTGTTGCCACACAACTCTGTTTTCTGTCTCCCTAGTTTTTGAGTACAGAGCACGGCCCTTCCTTCCAAGGGCTCCGTGGTCATGTTTTTGAGATACTCGTCAGTGAATTTCTTGTGCACCACAAACCTTGGTGCTGGGTAAATCTGGTGGGATCCACCTAGATTTTTCCATGGGACATGATCCCTGACAGGCAGAAAGTTTAACTAATTAATCACTATTTTTGTGTAGTTGGGCCTGTGTCTCTGGTATTCTCACTGTACACATTTGGTTTTTTTTCTCAGCAACATTTAAAACAGTTCAAATCAAAGTGATCTTCGGCAGCAGCCGTGAGACTTTGCACTTTGGAAATTTAACACATCCACCATTAGAGAGTGAGGCTGCTCCCAAAGCCTTGTTGTCATCATTAGTGTGTGTTGGATATTTACGTATAAAATGTGTTTCTATTTTTACCATTGTGCATCTCATTTTGCAGAGGAGAGATTGGCTGGAGCCAGGGAGAGGTCAGAGAGCCTGTTCCCGTCAGGCTGCTCTGTGGAGGCCGAGGTCAGGCCTCTCCAGGGAGGCCGGGCTGGGCGGGAGCAGCGGGCACAGGGCTCCTGTCTGATGTCCTTGTCTGTTTTCACCCAGGTTCTAGAAACAGCTCTGTGAGGTGGAAGAACTGATTTTATTGTTGTTGCTGGGCTGTTAGGGGAGCCAGGTCCCAGAGAGGGCAGTCCCTTGCTCAAGGTCTCAGACACTTAAGGGACAGGGCCAGGCCCCGCCTCAGGCTGCCGACTCCACCCAGAGCTCTCCTGCTCTGCCAGGATCCCGTCTCCACCTCCTCCTTCCACCGGGTAGAAAGCAACCAGGGCCTCTGCCAGGCACGGGGCACAAGTGGAGTCTCTCCAGGTGACCCAGGACTCCCAGCCCAGGTCCGCTGGCGGGAGCAGGGGGGGCAGGAGCTCAGGTGTTCTGTTTGGTGCCTTCCATGTGGCCCTCCCGTGCCACCCCCTGGAGGGAGGGTTCCTTTAGCAGGTGTGGCTTGAGTGGCCAGCTTCAGCTGACCTGGCTGGGCTCCTGGCTTTAGCCTGAGAGTGTCCTGCGCATCTTCGGGTTTCTGGCTGGTGAAGTGGCTTCTGAGGACTGTCAGGAAGCTCCAGACCCAGGACCAAGGGTAGGCAGGGCCGTGTTCCCCCTGAAGCCTCTGAGGAGGCTCCTTCCCTGCCTGAGACCCCGGGCGACCTTTGGCTGGTAGAGACAGTCTCCCGATCTCTGGCCGCTGACACACGGCCACCCCCTCCCCACCTTCCTTCTGCGAATGTCCACCTTCAAAGCTGCCCTTGGTGCGAGACCCTGGCCGCCCTGGGTGACAGCCCACCCTAATGACCTTAACTCTGTACAGACCCCATTTTAAGCTGAGATCACATTCCGAGGGACTGAGGGGAACGACACCACGGGGCGCATCCCAGCTGGTCAGGGACGGAGCCGGGGAGAGCTGTGCTTCTGTGTGCTCTTCGTGTGGAGCACCCAGAGGCTCCTTCCAGCCCCGTCCCAGCCCCAGGAGGGGCGCGTCCCTGCAGGGTCTACAAAAGAGGAAAGGGAGGCTCAGAACCGCCCACGGCCTCCCAGTTAGCACGGAATCCAAACTCAGGTGCCCTTAAGCCTGCCGCGCAGCCTCTGGAGCCAGTGAACACAGGGCGTGGCTGTGTGGCTGGGCAGCCTTGTGAGGCTTGCCACAGGCCGGGTGCCCTCATCTGCAGGTCGTGCCAGCGTGGCTGAGTCCCTCTTCTCTTGCCAGCCTGCTGCCCTTCGGGGCTGACATCAGCACCTGCTCCTCCAAGGAGCCCTCTCGGATGTCCCCAGCCAGCACTGACCACCCAGCACTTCCCACCTTGGAACTGCACCTGCCAATCTGCCTGAGGGCTTGGTCCAGCCCCAGCCCCGAGCCTCGCTCAGGGTCTCAGGTCTGGGAGGGGGTGTCAGTAACATCACCAGGTATCACACGGGGACCTCTGGCTTCCAGAACTCCCGGGCGCATGGTCAGGGCGGGCCTCCTGGAGCAGGCAGGGCCTGGCCGTGCAGGGTGCAGGTGTCCTGGAGGCCAGCTGCCATCCTCTGAGGTGGCTTCCGAGTCCCCTCAGGTCCCCTCTCTGCCTGGTAAGCCCCTGCACATCAGAAGTCCACCGAGGGGTGATCCCTCCGGGCAGCCTCCTGCCTTCCCATGTCATGGCCCCTCACAACACTGCTGGGGGAGGCCCTCTGTCTAGAGGTCAGGCTGGTTCGGGGAAGTCCCGGTGCCCACTGGGAGGCCACAGGCAGGTAGGAGCCACATGGTCCAGCGTGTGTGGCCCTCGGTGGCAGATTTCTGAGATGGGGAGAAGGAGGAACTATCACTCGGCTTTGGTGACAGGTGGGTGGTGTGGGGTGGTTGGGAGAAGACTCGGACTTGACCCTGAAGTTCTGGCTTCTGTCTGGGTCTCTGCCTCCGGGACACCTGCACAGAGGCGCCCCTTCCTGCTGGGCAGCGCCAGGACCGGGTGCTCCTGGCCTGCTGCTGAGCCTCCCGGGGGGTCCTGTCACCCACAGGCGGCCCTGGCAGAAAGCTCCCGCCTCAAAGAGCAGCTGGCGATGCTGCAGCTGAAGACGGACCTGCTGAGCAGCATCTTCGGCCCAGAGCAAGCCAGCGCCCTCCTGGAGCAGGTGGCGAGTTCCGTGAGGGACAGGGACCTGCTGCATAACAGCCTCCTGCAGAGGAAGAGCAAGCTGCAGGTGAGGGGCGGCAGCGTCTGGGCACTGGGCCTGGCCAGGCGGGAGTGGCCCTCACGGTGGTGTTCCAAGCTCACGACTGCCGCTCGCCGCTGTGGCCTGGACGAATCCTTCTGTCCCTCACTCTCTCAGGCTCCTCCTGCATAAACTGGGTAGGATTCTCCCAGGATCCCTCTAACTGGTTCCCTAGCCACCTGTCTGTCCCCTCCCTGCACTGCAATCAAAGTGAACTATCTTATACCACAGAGAGCTGGTAGAGGGACCAGCGCAGGTGAGAGCACTTGGAAATGTTAAGCCACCATGATGCTGGAGGCTGGTGTCAATAGTGACACGCTGACTGTCCCCAATCCAAGATGCAGCTGGGATGCAGGGAACAGCCTCCTCTTCTACAGGATGAAAGCTTGCTGAGCCGGCGGGGGATGATAGCAGCTCCGAGGCGTGGGGCAGTGTCTGTGGCCGGGCACCTGCTCAGAGTGTCACCCCCTGATCTTATCTAACCCACGGTACCCACGAGGACCTGCTATTCTTCCCCCTGTTTTACCGATGAGGAAACTCAGTGGTGGCTCTTGGCCAGGGTGGCAGGGCCAGGACATACCCCACGCGGCCTGACCCCAAGCCTGCTGTCTCACCTCCTGTGTCCTCACCTCCATTAGTAGGGCCAGGCAGGGTTTTAGGAGCTGGGGAGACAAAGAAAGGAAGCCGAGAGTTCACCCCCAAACATTTACAACCTGGTGACAGAAACCAACAAATGGACAATCCCCAGGAGATGTCCAAAGGCTGTCTGTGAGCCAGTGGTGACCTGGTCAGCATATGCAGGGTGGGCTTCCCGGGGCCTCCGTGGTAAATAAAGGGATGCGGCTGTGTCCAGCAGCACTTTGCAGACGTAAACAGCCTCTGGTGGGATTTGGGGAGGGATTTCCCAGCCCCTGTTCTAGAGGGATGTGGCCAAAGTGTTATGCAAGGACATCACGGGGACCCTAAGAAGAGGCACCCAACCCCAGCAAGGCTCCAAGAAGGTTTTCTGGAGCAAGAATGTGCTGAGGAGGAGCAGCCAGGCCTTCTATGGGTGCCAGGTCCATAACAAGGTGCCCCTGAGGAAAGCTCTTAATTCTCTAAATTCGCAGCTGCTCATTCTGTCTCCGCAGAGTTTGCTTGATCAGCACAAGGACTTTGGGGCTGCTTTTGAACCCCTACAGAGGAAGCTCTTAGACCTCCAAGTTAGAATCCAAGCTGAGAAAGGGCTTCAGCGGGACCTTCCTGGAAAACAGGCCCAGCTCTTGAGGTTGCAGGTAAGGGGTCTGTGGGACGAGTCGACCCTCACAGGGTTGACTTTTTTGTGCATAAAAGCAGTTCCTCCTCTTCTAGTAACCAGCAAAGCCAGAGCCAGCTTGAGCCAGAGATTTACACCTTACTTGAGATCTGACTTTTTGTATTAATGGAATTTCTGCTTATTTATCTGATGGTTCCTGGCCTCAGCAGGGCCTTTAGCACCTTCAAACTGCAGATTCTGAAGCCTAACAAAATCATAATTATTTACCTCTGAGTTCCAAAGCCTAAAATTGGTATTGGTTTTTAAAATTGCATTGCTAACTATCCCTAATGGGTCCAGAGGCCTTCAGTTAACTAACACAATCCTGAGATTGAGAGTATGCATTTTAACCCACACGCTGATCATTGATAGCGGTTGGCTGGATAAGGAGCTTGCTGGTTTTGAAAATACATGTGATCCAAAGATCATCTTTAGAACCCAAGGACAGCTCACATATAGAGTGAGAGTTCTCTGCAAGATATTACGCCGGTGCGTTTGAGTCTTGAAACCTGAAATTGGGGTGTGGTTCTTCATAAGGAGAGGTAGCCATCAAGTGAAAGTCTAAGTGATTTTGTCCTCCGTGATGTCCTCTGGTCTTTTACTGAGTTTATTTTCATGTTCCATAATATTTTGGTCTGATTTTAAATTTTTCATCAGCTGTGAGCTGGGCCTATAAGACACGTGGTGCATCTGCTGGTGTGGGGAGCCCTGTATCCTGGAAAGCCCCCACCCCAGGCCCTCGCTCTGAGCTGACCCCCACCTCCACCCTGATCAGCCTCCACAGTGAGGRGCAGGGAGGACGCTCAGCCCTTCCTTCTGCACGGCAGGGGCTGCAGGAAGAGGGGCTGGAGCTGGGCCTGCAGATCGAAGCCATGCAGCCTCTTGTCCAGGGGAACCCCAACCACCAGCACAAGATGGACCAGCTTACTTCTGACCACCAGGCCCTGCAGAGGCCCCTGGAGGTAAGGCCGTCAGAGGAGCCTGAGTGGCAACCAAGAAACCTGGGCTCTTGGGGCCTTTCTCCCTCTTTCCTTCTGTCCTCCCTTCCCGCCCAGCTTCTTGGGACAGGTGATTACTGAGGCCTAAGCACGGGGGCGCTGCACTAGGCCTGCGAACGGAGCCGCCTGAAGGAGAGGGCCAAGGCGTTGTCTCCCTTGGGGATGGTCGTTCTAGTTGGGTAGATGCAGATGAATCAGTAAGAAGCAAGTAAAGGCTCCACTCGGTATTGAGCTAAGGGCCGCGAGGGGGAAGAGCTGCTGCCACCCCAGCAGCCTGCGTGCAGAGGCCTTTGCAAAGGGAGCCCTGAGCCCCGGGGCCGCAGAACCTTGTCTGCAGTGCCCTCTAGTGGCCGCCTGGACACTTGCGTGTGTGGCGCAGGCGAGACTCCTTCCAAACTGGCCCCAATGGACAAGAGGAAATGCAGACTGCAGCCCCACTTGGGCGCTGATTCGTTCAGGTGCAGGCCTGGGTCTGCCTTTGTGTCGAGTCCCGAGGCCGCGAGCTGGTGTCCGACAGCCACACTTCAAGAAAACAGTGCGAAGCAGGTTCTCCTATGCACCCCACCCTGCTCAACGCCCTCTTTACAATCTCCAGCCCATAGATAATGTGAGTTCCCCTCACAGACAATTTAGAACTTTCTAGAATATAAGAGAGATTTTTAAAAATAGTTATAATCAAATAGTGTCCTTTGATGCTTAAATGCTCCCAGGTGACTACATCAAGACACGGGGAGATGGTCAGTGAACGCTCCCTCCAGGTCACGGCCACAGGTGCCCCATCCGTGGTGGTGCCTGCTCGGCCTCCTGGGATGCGGTTTTCTGGAATGTGATAAAAAGTGATCAAACCAAAGTGCAGTGTCCCATCCTTTTACACCAGGGACATGTCCCTGGAGAGGCTGGCATCTGCATTGAGCCAGACACTCCAGGGGTCTCCAGGGAGCACAGCACCACCTATAGAGACCCACGGTRCAGGTGACACATGGAGTCTGCCTAACCCAGGAGCAGCTTGTGGTCTCAAGGTCAAGGGAGGGGGCGTTGAGAGACAGGAAACCATCCCGCAGCGGAAGTCAGCTCCAGTACCCACATCCAGTCGGTGAGCGAGGTTGATCAGAAGTCAGGAGCTAGGGACTGCAGACTGCGACAGTCCCATTCCACCGAGTTTCTTTATTTACAGTTTGCATACTCATTTAAGGGGAAACGGCCCCTCCTGTTATTTGGATGTTCAGTGCTTGTTAAGTCTAGTGAGTTTTAACGTGCCCCCCCCCCAGACAGTGATCTTCCCGTCTCCCAGGGGTAGGTCCTAGCTCTAGGCAGTAGGGAGCCACTGAAGGCATTGGGTGGTGAGAACTAGGAGGAGTGGGGTTTTAGGTAACATTTCGCCCTTGCTGACAGCCCTCGGGGACAGATGCTCCACCCCCCCTGGAGGCCCACGGAATGCCCAGCCCCTCTCTGGGTCCCCATCCCTGGCATGGTCCTGGAACCCTGCAGGGCCAGCCCGMGTTTGTGGAACGCAGGAAGGCAGGGCCTTTGGTGGCCCCACAGAAYGAGACCCTAAGCTGGGAGACACAGCAGGAAAGGGGACGGTGGGCCCCGGGTCTGACTGGCTCCTAGTGAGATGAAGAAGGTGCTCAAAGGGTCCCGGGCAGGGTGACCAGGAGCATGGAAAATGGCCTTCTTCTGTGTTCGGTGCCATCTTTCCTGGAGACAGAGAAGAACAAGGTTCCAGCCTCCGAGGCCTCAGTTTCCCAGGAAACAGGCCTCAGGGAGGAGAAAAAGCAAGACTGTTTGAAAACCTGTTGGTGAAGTCCAGTCCTAGCCAGAAGAGTGAATGTCTTACTGGGCACCTCGGCGGAATCTTAAATTAAACGGATCGAATTCAGCAGCACCCAGAAAGAACCCAGAGCAACGCCAGCCTCCCTCACGCCCGCCAGTCACCGCCGGCTCCTGACCTCAGACTGGACCCAGCGTCAGTTAGGCCTGCTCACGGAGCCACACAGATGCTCATACTGTGTGTGTGCTGGACCCCCACACGTGGTTGTAGGTTCATCCGTAGGGTTGCCCTGGTGCGGCGTGCCYATTCTTGCTGCTCTAGAACATTCCATTGAGCAAAAGTGCTTGTTCCCTTTCCCACCAGCCCCACCTGCCCTTGGCTGTTTCTATAGGAGACAGGCCGGGAGGCGTTTTGAACCAGACTTGATCTTTGGGGATCCTTGTGCTGTGCCCAGGGAGGACCAGCCTGTGGTGTCTGTCTGGCTGTGGGAGGAGCCAGGGCCCAGGCGGTCTGGGGTCCTGCAGGGTTGGGGGGAGCCTGGCTCTCTGCCTGCTCCAGCGCTCAGTGCCCTGGCCTCCGGCTATGCTGCAGGACCTCGTGGACAGGTGTCGGCAGAGCGTGCGGGAGCACTGCACCTTCAGCCACCAGCTGCAGGAGCTGCGGCAGTGGGTCACTGTGGTCACACAGCTACTGGAGTCACACCAGCGGGACGTGGGCCCGTGGGATGCTGCGTCCCGGGAGGCCGAGGTGGAGGTAAGGGGGTGACTCCCTCACCTGCGTCCCCAAAGGCAGCCTCTCTGGCTGAAGCTCCCACAGTGGGAAGCAGGGACCTCCCCAAGAAGGACCCTCACTGTGTGTGTCCCCCTGTGTCCTCCAGAGGCTGCTGGCTGACCTCCCTGAGAAGGAGGCCCAGCTGCCCCTGGTCGAGGCGCACGGCCAGCTGGTGATGGAGAAGTCTTCTCCTGAGGGGGCGGCCTTGGTCCAGGCGGAGCTACAGGAGCTGGCGGAGGCTTGGCGGGCCCTGAGGCTGCTGGAGGAGCACCTACTGAGGTGAGAGGCCCTCTCTGGCTCTGAGTCTTGTCTGGGGCAGTGCCCCCTCGCCACCAGGAAGAGCTCCGAGCAGATGCCTGGGCTCTGAGCCAGGCGTCGTGCCAGGGACCTGCCCACCTCCCCACACCTGAGCCCCCTGGTGATTCTGGCAGGGGCAGGGGAGCTGAGATGTCCCTGGAGGGGGGTCGGCCTCCAGCCCGCTCTGGTGTGAGCCTCAGTTTCCTATCTGTGTCCTGAGCACGTGCACCTGTGTGACCGGGGAGGGGGGGTTGCAACTCAGAGACGGGACACGTGGGAGACTCAGGAGCGTCTGCCACACCTGAAGGATGGCTGCTGGCTCATTGTTGATGGGAAACCCAGAAGTGTCCTGCCGCCCTTGAGGCCCAGGGCTGTTACTTCTCCAGTGCCCCATGGGTCCCCATCATGTCACCACCTTGAGGGGTTGTTTGTCTTCCCAGCCTCATCAGAAGCCAGCAGCTGCAGAGTACAGAGGTGGACACCGGGAAGAGGCTGGTCTTCACCAACAACATCCCGAAGTCTGGGTATCTCATCAACCCCATGGACCCCGTGCCCAGGCGTCGTCGTGGGGTGAGTGTGTCTAGCAGGGAGAAGGGCCAAGTGCCGGGTGGGGTGGGGTCTGCAGCATGGCACCCTCCCTGCCTGGGACCCCGGGCTCAGCTCCCAGGCCTTGGCCACATTCCATCTCACTTGTCCCTGCTGTGGCCCCAAGAGCAAGGGTGCCCGCTGCAGAGAGGGCCTCAGGTAGGTGGCGGGCAACCCTGGGCCAGACTGGTCCTTCCCTCTCTGAATCCCTAGATGGTTCCCCAGCAGGGAGGACAGGGACAAGGTCACAGACTTCCTGCTGGCCTTGGATTTAGACCTGAGATCACAGGAGAAGGGGGTATCTTTGTGCCTTGGCTGTATATTTTTGAAAAGAACTAACATGGTATCATCAGCACTTTCTCTTTCTGCCTTTAAACCACTGAGCCATGTGGAAAAGAACGTTATTCCTTGTTTTTCAAGAACAATCCATCAAAGCCCAGTGCAGTGATCACACCTGCTCCAGCTGGGTGGAGGCGGAAGCAGGGGGTTCCCTGAGCCCAGGAGTGCAAGACCGACATAGTGAGACCCCATCCCMAAAAGAAAAAGAAAATCCAATTCTTCATTCTCCCACTCCTTCCTTCATCCACCCAAACACATTTATTGAGTGCCACGGTGCTCCGAGGATTGGCTTAGAAAGTGGCTCAGAGCTTTTGCGACTGGGACGTGCGCCTGATTACAATCCAGCAGCCTGGTTGGGGCCCAGGGTCTGCATCGCCAGCAGGCTCCATGCTGCTTTCTAGTGCAGTTTGAGGAGCAAGACGGGTCCATGGGCAGTTAAATGAGCTTACAAAACTGTGCAGACGTGGGCAGAGGGGCCGATGCCATGAGTTTGTGGTGGAGTGGACCTGACCCAGACCTGGGGCAGGAGAGCACTCCTGGGAGCATGGGCCCTGGAGGCTGAGTGGGAGTGAGAAAGGAGGGAGAGAGGCACCGTGCATGCCCAGAYCCAGAGGCAGGCAGCCCAGGTCCAGGGGCTAAGACACGCCTGCAGGCTCCGGCTCAGAGAGGAGCGGCAGCTTGACCTTCGGAGGCCACAATAGCCAGAGCCCGAGGCTCTCAGGCCACATCAGGGAGGCACGAGGTGACACCACATATGGAAGGTGTCTYGTGCTCTAGACTGATCACTCTGGTCACAGCCACAGGGTACACGAGTGGTAGAAGGGTGACTGCTGGATAGCGGTCCTGGTAAGAGGTGACGGTGACTTGCACTAGGAACGAAGAGGTGACACTGAGGCATGCTCCTGACCTRGATGTGGCCATGTTGAGTAGAGATCCTCCCCTCAGGCCTCTCCCTGTCCTCATCCCCCACCGCTGCCTCAGTCGCGTCCAGGCCCACGTGTCCAGTGGTCCTCTTTCACCCCCATGGCTCTGGCCCTGTGTGTTCCTGCAGGCCCACCTGCTGGAGGAAGAAGGAGGCAGCCATGAAGATTTCCCCCAGCTCCTGAGGAACTTTGAGCAKTGGCTCCAGGTAGAAAACTCCAAGCTGGTTCGAACCATTGCCATGAGAACCAGCACCGCCAAGGACTTGAGGACCAGAGAGACGAAGCTGCAGGTTTGTGCCCAAGAAGCCACCCCTTGCCCGTGGGCTTTGCACCCATAGGTGTGTTTGCTCTAACAGGGAGYCCTGACAGTCATTTGTGAGCTGTTCTCACTTGTGTAGAATTAATGCTCCTTAAACTTTTTGGATTCAAATATCTTAGAGCTTTTCCTTGCTTTCCTTCACTCAGCCTCCTTTTCTTATTCCTTACCTGGGAATAAGAATATCAGCCCTTGTCTCTAGGCGCCTGTATCAGTTGGTAATTGCTGTGTAACACACAACCCCAACAGCTTGCAGCTGAAAACAGCAGCTGTGTATTTAACTCATATTCGGACCCTGAGCTCAGCCTGGCTCCTGCCCATTCAGAAGGCCAAGGGCTGGGCTCCCTCGCCTGTCTGCTGTCAGATGAAGGTCAACCAAGTGCCTCTAATTCTGGAGGTCAGCAGGCTGGTGGGGAAGAGAGTGACATGGACCACACATCTTATCCTCCTGTGGGGCAGCCTGGGCTTCCCATGGCAGAGGCAGGTCGGAGGGGACAGTGGGAGCAGGCCATGCCCTCGGAGGCCTAGGCCAGGAAGGGGGGTGATGTTAACTCCCCCTCATGGCCAGTCACCTCTCAGTTCTCTTGCTACTGTTACAATGGCAGTAAAGTTCCAACATGAATTTGGGGAGGGGCAAGAATTCAGACCCTAGTAGTCACCAAATCCTCCTCGGTTCCGCCTCCTTGAAGGCTGTTTTCACTGCGAGGGCCTCAGTTTAGGCACTGTTTTTCACCTTGATTGTAGAACTAACTTCCCAGATGGTCTCCCTTCTCCCTGTTGGGACCCTTCCCAGGTCATGGTTCATTCTGCAGCCAGAATGACCCTCCACAACCACGGGGACAAGAGTGACCTTGTCCACTTAATGGAAACATTTCAGAACAAGTTCAGACCCCAAGGTCATCATGCTAGGCCTTTCTCACCAGACTCCAGCTTGCCTCTTCTCTTCCTTGTTTTTATGAAATCTCACTATGACATGCTGGAGTCTGATGTTTGTTATCTTTTAATCCTTTATGGGATTCATTTGAACACCTGACTCTATGATTAAGGATCTTTCTGGAATATTCTCTGACACTATCTTGTTAAAACATTGTCTCTGCTTTAGTGCATTTTTTTCTCTCCTTCTCTTATGTCATTTATATGTAAATTATTTCTTCTCACTCTGTGCTTCATGTCTCTTGGCTTCTCTGTGTATTTTCCGTCTTTTTGTCTCTTCATGTTGCATTCTGAATATTTTTTTCTGACCTGTCTTCCAGTTTACTRATTCTSTCTTTAGCTATTACACATGTCGATTGAGTGTAACTTTTGTAATTTTAATGATCAACTCTAGAACTTCTGTTTGGTTCTTTCAACAATTTGCTGGGTCATATTTCCTAGCTAGCTTCCAGATCCTTGCTCAAATGTTTACACTAGTCTTTTAATTCTTTGAGCACAGTAAACATAGCTGTTTTACAATATGTCTAATAGCATCAATATCCCAAGGCATCTTAGGAATGGTTCTGATGTGTGTTATTTCTACTGCTTCTTCTCCTTAGTGCCTTGTATTTGTGTGAGGCTGTGATTATTCTGTGCTGAATGTTGTGGTGGACAAAATATGTGTTAGAGTAATTTGAGATCTAGGATACCCTCTTCCTCCAGAGAGGGCTTTTCTGTGGTTGTTCCTGCTGAGAAGGAGGCTGAGTCATTCTGGGCACTGAACCCAAGTCCAAGGCTTGCAGGTCCCTGGATTACAAGATGACCTGGAGCTGGGTGGCCAGTCTCCACCAGGCCCAGATTTACTGCTGGCTCACCTTTGCTCTGAGGGTGAAGCCCGTAGGTGTCTCAGCTAGAGGGGGAGTTGTTCTGTCCACCTCCACGCAGCCCAGAGTCTGACCTCCRCCTCCCTACCCCGTGAGGAGGTTGCCAAACCACAGACCTGCCTCACAGTCGTTTCTTCCAGATGGGAGGATATCCTAAGGGTGAAYGCAGGCCTGACACAGGCTTGCTTCTCTGAGGTTCCTTTCGTGTTGTTTTGGGTTTCTGGTTTCTTGCGGTGCTAGGGATTGATCCCAGGGCCTCGCATGTGCTGGGTCAGGGCTCTGCCCCTGAGCTGYACCCCCAGTTCTCCTTGCCTGAGTTTTGACCTGATGTGCCTCACTCTTTCGTTAAGCCTTTGATAGTTTTAAAAATGTCTTTAATATCATGTCCTCAGTGCAGGTTTGTTCCCAATTATCCAGTTGACCATCACCAGGAAGCCCTTCCTTCCTACCTCAGATTTGGCCACTCCTCACTTCCCACCCCTGCCCCCAACTCCAACCATATCAGAAACGGCTCTTAGTTCCACCCTYGAGACCCTTTTGCTCTTGTTCAGCTCACATTCTAGCAGGCTCTGAGCAACGATGCAAATGGTCGCATACTGCACAGCTAACAAGATGGGGCACGATCAGGGTCCAGAACCAGGATTTAAACCCAGGCTCCTGCCCCAGTCCCTCCCCGACATCACACGGCCTCCCAGGAGTCCTGAGAGTGAAGAGGTTTGTCCTTGGCACTCAATTTTGATAGAAAAACTGGCTCCCTCCAGCACCAACTGCCAAACAAAATCATGCWGATGGAAAGGCACGTTCCATGGGGTGACCTTTGTAACCATGGCGACTCCTCTGACAAGCCCTTTTAGGACCTGGTCCTAGGATGGCAGGCCAAGTGACCACAGTGGCTGGCAGTCCAGCTGCCCTTCCACACAGGAGGTCTTTCTGTAACATTCCACAGAGCATTGCTGGGCCTTGGCTTGCACTTGCACRTGAGGGTCCCACGTTACTGGTTCTGTGCTCCCCTCCCCGGGGGCCTCTCTGTCGAGGGCAATTCAATCAGCCTGCCCTTACCAGGGGGGTGGGCGGTCTGGGCCATTAGAAGCCTCACCATGATGCTGCCCTCTCCCCTAGGAGCTAGAGGCTCGAGTGCCCACAGGTCAGCATCTATTCGAGAACCTCCTTCGTCTTGGGCCAGCCAGGGGCACYTCGGACGAGCTGGAGGATCTGCGTTACCGCTGGATGCTGTACAAGTCCAAGCTCAAGGACTCCAGCCACCTGCTGGTAGGTGCTGAGGATGCTCAGGTGTCGGGACCCAGGGAGGGACCACAGCTGGGCCCAGCCTCACTGGGCCAATAGCCTGCATGTGTTCTGTCCTGCACATCCACGTCCCAGCTGGGGGCAGGGAGGGACACTTGACTTAGGTCAWCTCATTGGGCCATCCTCCCTTGCCATGAGGCTGGCCCCCCGGTAACCATGGCAACGGCCTCACGGTTCCTACCATGCTGAGAGCTCTGTCTGCGTCACCCCATTCAGCAACAGCCACGGCTGCTGGAGTGACCCTGTCCGAGTCCAGAGGGGAGCGGAGGCCCCTAGAAGCCGAAACCTTGCTCTGCAGGTTTTTCTGCCACTAGGTGTCAGCCCAGCCCCAGCCAGGTGCCAGTGTCCCAGCCAGCGGGGCAGGGCCTCCCCAGACTATGCCCGCAGGCCAGGCCCCAGTGTGTTAAAAAGCTCATTAAACAGAATCCCCCGTGGCAGGGCCTTGCAGGTGACCAGCGCCTTAGGGAAGACCGCCCCCCCCCCAGATAGCCCAGCGCAGGCCCTGTTGGGACTTGCCTTCCGCTCACCTCACCTGTTTCCCCTTCTCCTCTCCTTCCTAAAACAACAGTYGCTGAGTTCTCCCGGGGACCCCACTGGATTCCAAAAGGTACATGTCTGCCATCTGCTCTGGGGCTGCAGAGCAGGCAGCTGGGGGGCTGGGGGGCCTGGGAGGCTGGGGCAGGACCCCTGGGCYTTCTGGAAGGCTCTGTGGGGTCTCTGCTTTCCAGAAGCTCCAGGCTCGGGGAGTGGCTGCAAGGGTGTGAAGGGCACTTTGCCGTGACAGACACCTGGTGGAGAAGGGACCCTGGAGCTTGCCAACAAGGACCAGGGCACTCTGGGGAGTGACAAGGTGCTCCTAATGATGACTGTGATCGCAGGTGTAAACCAGGGTAGTCCCAGGAACCTGGCCCGGGTGCCCACCTTGGTGGTAGAGGGGCAGGTGGGGCTCAGGAGGACTCAGGAGGAAGGGCCAGYGGGGCCTTCCAGTTCCACCAGGCAGGTTCTCCTCTGGGGCCCACTGAGACGTGCTCAGAGTCACTCCCATGGTGTTTCCAGGYCCAGGCGATGGCAGGAACGGGGTACTAACGGGTGGAAGCACCAGTCTTACTGCCCGACATGGTGCCCACTGGCAATCCACTGTGGGGCCTGGACCTGTGYCCACTGTAGCCAGGGCATCTCATTTCACCCTCTGTTAACCCCCAAGTGGTTTCTTTATTTTTTTAATATTTATTTCTTAGTTTTTGGCGGACACAACATCTTTGTTTGTATGTGGTGCTGAGGATCGAACCCGGGCCGCACGCATGCCAGGCGAGCGCGCTACCGCTTGAGCCACATCCCCAGCCCCCCAAGTGGTTTCTTGCCTCTGCTTTAAGCCTGGGGAATCAGAAAGGGTGAATGAGCTGCAGTGCTTGGAGGCACCACACTCCTGACTGGTCTCTGGCTCCAACACCCAGGTTCAACCTTCTGTGTGATGCCTGGGGGGACGTCTTGCTGGGCTCTGGAGGGTCTCTCCACTCCTGGAAAAGCCAAGTGTGACTGTTGTCCCCAGGGCTGCCGTTTCCAGAGCACACCCTTGTTTTCTGGCCAAGCAAGGGTCTGGGATGACACAGGCCCCAGCAGGCCGGGCTCACAGAGCCCCAAGGCGCTTGGGACCTCTCCCTCCCTGGAGCACACCAGGACTCCTTCCTGGGCTCCAGCTGGGCTCCAGCATCTGCAGGGTGCGGGTGACCCTGGGCTGGGCAGGGCTGTTATGAGACCAAGGTGTGCTCTGGGCCCAACACCAAGCARCTCTGGGGCCTTCAGCAAGTCACTTTGGTTTGGGGCACACCTGGCCCATCTGTATAATRTTAATGCCAACTTTATTTACTTCATGAATCAGTGCCGACGGTCGTGTGAGCTGTGATGTGTGGAAGATAGGCTTCTTAGAGCCTAAGCCCTGGTTTCCCCAAGTTCAGAACCACACCAGCCTCCTCACGAAACAGGAAAGAACATCCGGAAAGGGCAGGTGACCCACACAGCYCCACCTAGTGGCTTCTGGTGGGATACAGGGACACGGGACCAGGTGTCCTGGCTGCCTCTAACTCCTGCACTTTAAGCCCCATCTATGCAGCYCCCAGGGCAGGTCCCTGCAGGAGTCATGTGTGGGTCCCCTGGGGCCTGGCCATGGTGCCCAGCACATAGGAATTGCTTGCTGAAGGCTTTGGGGTAGGTGCCACTTGGCTGGCTGACCCCGGCCCTCCAGTGCAGGCTCAGGTTCCCTGTGGCCTGTGCTTCATGTGTCAGTGTGGGTCCYCCCCACCGTGGTGGCTCTGCCGATCCTCCTTCCTTCATTCCTTCCTTTCYCYYGTGTTCCCTGAGGGCCRACTGGGCTGAGCTCTGTTGAGCACTGGGACCACGTCAGGGAAGGAAAGAGCCGCTGCCCTCCTACACCTGGCGGGCAGAAGGAGGGGTCAGAGGGTGCCTTGCATCCGGCTGGGGTTGCTGGGCATCTCTGGGGCAGAGAGCTCTGCACGGCAACAGCCACAGGGGTCTTTGCATCCCGAAGTTTATCTCATCTCCTCCTAGCAGATGCTGGGTGCCGTTTTGTATAAAACTCGGGGTAGGCAAGCAGGAAGCCGGAGCGGCCACGAGATCGACTTCCTGGGGCTGTGTTTAAGATAAGGGGAGGTATACATGTTTTACTTTGGTGCTGGTCAGCTTTTGAGACCTCAGTCTCCCGGGAGGAAGTAAGCAACCTACGGGCTGATATACAGCAGCCATGTCACAGATTGCTGTGCCCAGTCCTYGGGTTTCTGAGCCATTAGGACTGGAGTGGCCCAGGAATCTGCRTTTCTAACAGGGCAGTGCTGATCCTGTGGGCCTGGGGTCCACACTTGGAGAACCTCTGCTTTATGTTCTGGATTCKAATCCTGGCCCCACCATTAGCACGTGTGACCTTTTGCTAGTCCCTCACCCGTGGTCTTCCTGTGAATAGAAAGAGTCCACTGAGCTAGTGGAAGGCAAAGTCCTCAGCAACAACTAGCGCGTAGTGGCCTCTGGGTTGCTGTGGAAACGAGGACCTGAGACCTCTGCAGACAGGGCCCTGCTTCTGTGCCTGAGGACAGAGCGAGCAGGAGTGGTGGCTTTCAAAAGGGGAAATCCTCCGTGGGGTTTGATCTTTTTTTTTCCTTCTGGTCTTCCTGTGTTAGCTTATATATATATAATTCATAACAAAATACTCAAGATCATTAATTTATAAAAAGAGAGGCTTACTTTGGCTCAGTTTTGGAGTTTCTAGTCAATGGTTTGCTGCTTTGTTGTTTTGGACCTGTGACAAGGTGGCACAGCCCAGCAGAKAGCATGAGGCACCCCAGAACCACCATCTGCCTGGCCAGGAAGGGAGCAGGGCTCCCSAGTCTCCTAGGACACGCCCCCAACAACAGGACCTCTCCCCAGGCCCCGCCTCTTAAAGGTACCACCATCTCCCAACAGCGCCCCCCCTGAGGACCAAGCCTTCAAGACATGGGCTCTTGGGGACACTCCCCATCCCAACCGTAGCATCCTTATGGTTTGTGTGTGACTCTGCACACACTCGCACACACAGGCCTGACAGGTAGAAAATAAGCACCATCTGCAGAGGTTGTAATCTTGCCAGTGTAAAAACATCCCATATGTTATTTTTGGTCCAAAGGGAAGAAAAACCAAAAGTCTGCTCCCAAGCTAATTATCGAGCGGTTGGTTCTCTACACTTTTTTCTCTCTCTGGGCCTTAAGTCATTGAAAGCTCCAGCTACGGTAGGGCCTTCATCCTGCTTGTTTGTATAAACAGAATAATTAAGATGTATTAATCTGCAGCCGCCTCTGCCCTGGCAAGCTCAGTGCCACTGGATGTCTGCCCACAGCCCTCAGAGCCACAAAGCGTAATGGTGTTTAGGGTTGCAGTGGGCTKCGAGTTAACCGAAGTCCTGCCTTGGCCTGGGGAGGTGCTGTCGCCCTCCCAGATACTCTCTTACCTGAGGAACRGACTGGCGCACGTGCCATTCTCCAGGGCAAACCAGGGTGGCAGGAGCAGAGAGCTGCCACCTCCCACCTGGAGCCCAGCATGGGCTCTCGCCATARACCCAGTGACTCAGGCCCCCGAGAGCCGCAGTTCATTTACTCGACCATATTTCATAGATTTTTGAGACTTCATTTTTCTCAGCTCTGGGGTCTGGGTGCCGTGTTGGAATCTAGTTCTTCCCGGGAGGTGTGGGTTTGCYTCCCTCCTCCACCCAGGCCAACCTCCCTCCTGCCATGGCCGTGACACCTGTCTGTGGGCCGTGTGTGTTTCTCTTCGGGTCACACTGATTGTGCAAACGGAGAGCGCAAGCCTGCTGTCTGGACTCTGAGAAATGAGTTTTTGTCCCCCTCCTTTAATCTCTGCCAAGATGAGACACTGCATGTCCTTGTCTTGGTTTATTCTCTCTCCCCGGACAGAGGAGGTGCAGCCCCTAGTGCCCCTGCTGGACACAGGCTTTTCGGTCAAACGCTCCGTCTTGGTGGAGGTTTTTATTTTCTTACCTTGTGACACCTTTCCCTTGGTGTCTTAGAGGGATGAAATTCTAATTCTGTGACATCAAATCTCACGAAGCATTAGTGGTAGATAAGCTTTTTCTCACAACTGTGATTTTTAAAGTCCCTACTATGTGCTGGGCACTGTGATGGACACTCACATACCCGGTCCATAACGATCATGACCGCCTTCTTCAGGGGGAGGAAGAAGCCTCTTGGCCTCTTCTCAAGTGTGGCTCACACAGGGCCAGGTCGGGGCTGGGCAACAGCAACACAGTCTGACTTTGGGCCTCGGAGATTCACCTTGTAACTCTGCAGACAGCTCAAATCTGGCTTTTCCCTGGTCACAGCCAAAGTGCTGGGCTGTACTAGGCCATGCTATTTCTGTCCTCCAAAAGAGRAGAGCCAGGGACAGGCCTAAAACCACACCCTGTGTTATCCCAGGGCCATCTCTCCATCTACCTTCAGAGCCCAGAAGCAACGGGGCTTCTCTGATTTGGGAATGAATTGGTGCAGAAACTYGTCTTTGACCACTGAGACCCAGGGTATCATCTTCAGTTGCTCTTTCTGTTCCTTCCTCCTTCCATTGCCCCATCTRCCTTCTGCCCCTCCCCTCCTCTGAATTTCACCCCAGCAAGGTGACAGGAGCTACCTCATCACTCAACCCAGGGGATGTATCTCTGTCCCCAACTCCCCTGGCCTCTGGGCAGCACTGGGTGACAGCACATCCCTCCACCGCTCCTCTTGGCTCCACCCTGGCCCCTCTCTCTGTTTTAACTTTTTTAATTCACCCAAACGTGTTGATGAACTCAATGTTGATGAACTGTGACTGTTCATTGCCCATTTYAAAAATTCTTAAGCTGCCTCAATAGTCTTTTTTGAATTATTAGACTGTCTTGGCAGTTTCAGGTTCATAGGAAATCCAGTAGAAGGCACGGGCTTCCCGTTTGCTTCCTCTCATCCCAGCCTCCCCCTCCCCCGCCACATTTAATAATGTCACGATGAGCGTGAACCATTGTTGTAATTGAAGCAGTCTTAGTGCCCTTTATTATGTAACGCCCACGGTTTGCACATTGGC